ATAAAGTGCATTTACACCTGTGCTGATCTATGCCTTTAATAACACACTAGAGAAATGAGGATGGGAGGAAGTTCCAAGACTAGATCCTAAAGACATTGTGGCTTCTGACTTTGTCACTTGCTTTGATAAGACTAGATTCCATGTGACAAAGGCACTTACGCAGGATTCCCGAGATCCTCTTCCCAAGTATATAAAGGTATGTATAAATATATACATAAATGCTCAAGAGAAAAACAGAAACAGAAACAGAGACAGAGAGACATGAAGATTGCCCCATAAAGTACTCACTATATTACCTGCCCTGGGAACTGAATTCCCAGAATAGGGTTAGGGATTTAGGATATGGGAGAGCTATAATAAAGCGATTACTACCAAACGGAAGAATAAACAGAACCAAGTTTCCATATAAACCTTTGTTCCTTATAAAATAGTACATCTCTAGGAAGGCTGCTGGCTGGCTTCCTGCATGGGAATGCCTGGCAGTATTTGGGAAATTGCTGCCCCCAGGGTCCTGCACTCAATACCATCCAAGTCAGGACCTCTCCAAAGAGGGCAGAGACATCTATCTGCAACAAGCACCCAGTGCCTCTGTGCAAATCAAAGTTTACATAGTCAACATTTGCAAGTCAGATTTTCTGTCTATATTGACTTACATTAAGGCTCAAAAGCTTATTTATTTTTATTTTTACTGATCTTCCTGAAATGTTGCTGATAATCCTGAGGTTTCAGTTCCTTGGGCCCCATCCCCAGTGACCCACTGCAGAGCCTCTCTGTGAAATCCTTGTTTTTGTTTTGCACTTGTCTAAAGTGGGACATGATGATTCTTGAGATGGCAGCATTTACAGGAATTCCTCAAGGAGGGCATTCACATTCTTAATCGTTAATGCCATTCACATTTCTTGGTGTATTCAATTTTTATTTTTAACTTTTATTTGAAAAGAAAACTTTTAGCTTTTTCAAAACAAAGTATGCTAGTAAGCTTCACTTTTTCCACTGAAATTCCCTATGGGATTAATTAAATCCAGTCCCTGAAAAATCATACAGGAAAAAAGCATAATTACTCCCCAAAAAACTACTCATTCCATGAAGCATTTGGTCCAACACTACAGCATTTTTGAAGAGTTGCTTTACAAAATGTAGGACATAGTAAGACATTGTTGGATGGATGGGTACCTCTGTTCCCTTCATCTACTTTTCTAAATGCTCTCCATCCAAGTGATGTGAGTGGTAATGTAAGAGTCAAAATTTGTCTCCAATTACAGATGCAAGCAGTTATAAAGCGCCACTCTCTGAACCAGGCTGCAAAGCTAAGTCAACCCATCCAAGAGCCCCATCAATTTATTTTGCTGTAATGTGGTATACTGCATGAACATGAATATGAATGGTTGAGTTATGTTAGCTTTCTTGTCCCTGAGATACAATACCTAACACAATGAGAAAGGAGAATGATTGGCTGCTTCATGGAAGAATAATCATGGTAGAAGGGAGTGGCTGCTTAGTTCATAACTACGAGAAAGCAGAGCAGGGGAAGAGTGACAGAGCAGAAGGGAAGAGGGACCAGACACAGATCACAAGGCCTCAGCTCCATGATCTTCCATAATATACCTACAAGAGTATTCTACCAATCCCTTAGGTTGTTCCCAATGCCAGTCAAGGTGAAACTGCACCCAATTGTCATATCCCACCCCTCTTCAACCTGCCACCTAAGTAAAGACAATAGCAGATTCATAATTTGGAGCAATATAATACAACTATCCCATGTACAACTTTCCAAAAGTCCAAGTCTGTTCTCAGACTCAAGGCAAACTCTTAAGTGTGAACCTCTGTAAATATCAAAACCAAGTTACATAATCTCAATATATAATGGCAGAGGGTACACATTTTTATTCCAAAACAAAGGAATAAAGGGATAGCAGACAATCAGACCAAAGCAAAGCAAACATTAAGATCTGTAGCTCCATGTCTGACATCAGTGACACACAGTGGGAAAATGTAAATTCAAAAGGACTTGTATGTCCCATGCCTATGACTTTATGGGTTGCAGCCCACATGGCCTCTCTGTTGAGGTGGCTCCATTCAAACCTTGTAGCTTTGCTCAGAAGATATTCTACATTGCTGGTGTCCCCAAGTTTCTGAGGTTACCACTACAACTTTCATTTCATTCCCACAGCCTCATGCACTGTCCTCTCAAGGGCTCCTTCCTTGGCCTCCCAGGCACCTCCTTGAAATCTAGATGGATACATTTCTGCCCCCACAGTTCTTGCATTCTGACTGCTGACAAAAATCAGCATCACATGGACAATTACAAGATTTCTGCCTGTACAAACATTAGTCAAGCCCACTCAGACCATGGCTGCAACAGGTTTCTATGTATTTAGACATCTGAGCACACTGAAATAAATTCTGGGAAACCAAATCTATATATGGCCATTCTCGGGGAAGGGACCAAGGGATTCTCTCAAATGAAAGGTTTACACTTTTGCACAATCCATGATCCTGGCTACTGCGCCAATTGGCAGCAGACCTCAGCATCATCTATGTGGTGCTGTCTTTAGGTGCACACAAAACGCAAGAGTTCTGAGATTAAAAAGGCTTTCACCTCAATTTCAGAAGGCCTGGGAGGCCGGGCTGTGTGCCCCTGAGAGGCCAGTGTGTAAAGCTGTGAGTGTGAAGGCAAACATGCGGTAGAGACCCCAGAAGTTTTGAAAAACTAGGAACATGGATTACCTAAGGAAAGCTGCAAGGATAGAACAACGTGGGCCTAAGAGAGAAGCTGTGGGAGCTATAACCACCAGAAGTGCCATAGGAGTGGACCACACAAGCCCTTCAGAGGTCACAGTTTGCCACAGATGGCTTCAGATGCTGGATGTGCAAATACAGGACTTAATGTTTGCCCTGCTGGACTTCAGACATTCTTTTGTCCCAATCCTTTGTACCCTCCTGTTTGTAACGTCTGAGATGAGAATGTCTATCTTGTGCCTTTGCATGTTGGATGTGTTTAACTTTGTTTTCATTTGTACAGGGGAATCCAGCTAAGAGTTTGCCTTCCACCTCAGAAGAGACTTTGAGCTTGAACTTTTTAAGCAATGCTGAAACTGTTAGGACTTTGGCGACTCTTACAAATGAACTAAATTCCTTTTACGTAAAGGGATTTGAGTCTTTGGGGGGTCCAGGGGCAAAATGTTATGATTCTCATGTAATACAATATGGGTAGACTTAATACAGGTTCTTAAGGATTGTTAAACCTGTGTTACAATGTTCAGGTTGTGAAATGTTAAGAACAAGCATGTCTGGTATAAAGAAATGTCTGTTTGCCAAGTTGACAAGTGGTGGATTGTTATGATTGATACTTTGTGTCATTTTGAGAAGCTGAGTTCAATATCCTCATCCTGGGCAAGAGGTTGGCACAGTGGTAGTGTGAGTGTTACACCTACTCTGAGGGTGAAGGTGGGGTGGCTTGCTTAAAATATAAGGGAGTAAAAGAAGCTGGCCCCCTACCTTTTGCTCTGGTTGCTTTTGCCAGTTGCTGCCTTGAAGTGTTGCCCAGGTACCATGCCACCCTGCCTTGGAGCCAGCTGATTATGGACTGAAACTTCCAAAACCTGTAAGCTAAATAAACCTTTCCTTCCTTAATTTTGGGTGTTGGATATTTGTCTCAGCAATGAGAGGAAAGTAACCAAGTCACATCTTTTATCCTCTGATGAATGTATCCCTGTTAATTCTTGAGATGTCTTCAAGGTAATTTACTTCTTGTGCTTGTTCAAAGTACTCTGTTTGGGGCTGGGGATTTAGCTCAGTGGTGTAAGCACCTGCCTTGGAGACACAGGTCATAAATTCAATCCCCAGTACAAAAAAAAAGGTACTTTGTTCTTTTTCAGTCGTGCTAATCTCTTGTACATTTCCTTTGGCCCCAATTTTACATGTAGTTCTTTCTAGGCCAAAATTTAAATATTTATGCTCTATTTTTTTGTCCCTGATTTTCTCTATAGGTCAGAGAAAGCAACCAGCAGTATCCATGCCACAGCCTAAATGTTACACTGTCTTGAAGTTTCTTCTGCCAGATTAGTTAGTCCATCAGCCTTCACTACCAGTCTCCAGCAAAGTCTCAGGACATGGGCAAGACGTAGAAAAACTTTCTTCACCAGTATTACATTTCCAATAATGTACTTGTTCACAACTGGAACATACTAAGCCTGGTCTTAACTATCCACATTCCTATCAGTCTATATTTTTTGGACTTTGACTGAAATCCCTTTTCAAGATCTGTTTATAGTATTCTAAGGAAACCCTAGCAAATGTCTCCAAAACTTTCCAAACTCCTCTGCAAACCAGTTCCAAAGGTTTTTAAGCCATAGTTTGGGTACAGTCACAGCAATGACTCCACTTCTCCAGTACCAATTTTCTGTACCCTTCCACTGTCTTGTGGCTAAGATAAAGCATCCAACACACATAATTTTATAGGAGAGACTTAATTTGGTCATGCTTTCCATCTATTATCAGTTGACTATGAGCCACGAACATCATGGCAGAGGATGGGACATGAAAAGCTATTTGGTCATGGTAACCAGGAAGTACAGCAAGGGGACAATGCCAGAAAGAAACAAGCGATGGATCACACATAGGCACTCCAAGGCCACAGCATTATAGTCCACCCAGACGCACCCAGAATATGATCCAGCAACCACCAGGACAGACCTCAAAGCTAGGCAAATGGAGACTCTACCCTAAGTGCCATATATGTGCTGTTTGCTCCTCATCCCAAAACTGTACTTATCCTGAATTCACACCCCCTAGTACTTGGAGGTAGGGCTTTTAGAGAGGTACAGAGGTTCAAGATCAATAAGGTGAGCTACAATCCAGTATAATGGGACCTTCTAAAAACAGAAGGAGCACAGACATCCACACAGTGAAGAAATGCCACATGCAAACTTTGGCACAGGGTACAATGTGATTCTGTTTGTCCCTTTTGTTGATTAACATAACAAAAGCTTCAGCCGGCCTTAGGGACCCCCTTTACTGATGAGGGCCCCTCGCAGGGCAGCTTTGACCTCCTTGTTTCGCAGAGTGTAAATCAAGGGGTTGAGTAAAGGGGTGGCGAAGGTGTAGACCAGCGCCAAGTGGCGGTCCTCGTCCTCCGAGGAGCTGGAGCGCGGCCGCAGGTAGACCAGGCTGCAGCAGCCATACTGCAGCAGGACCACGGTGAGGTGCGAGGAGCAGGTGGAGAAGGCGCGCTGGCGGCCCTGGGCGGAGCGGATGCGCACGATGGCGACTGCGATAAACCCGTAGGAGATGCAGATGAGCAGGAAGGGCACGGTCAGCACCAGGATGCCCACCACATAGAGCACGGCCTGGTGCACGCGGGTGTCCGCGCAGGCCAGCCGCAGGACCGCGGGCACATCGCAGAGGAAGTGGTGGATCTCAGGGCGGTGCCCGCAGAAGGGCAGGCTGAAGACCAGGGCAGTGAGCGGCAGGCAGAGGGACAGCGCGAGGCCCACGGAGCCCAGCACCATCTGCACGCACAGCCTCCGCGTCATGAGCAGGGCGTAGTGCAGCGGGTGGCAGATGGCCACGTAGCGGTCATAGGCCATGACGGCCAGGAGGAAGCAGTCGGTGCTGCCCAGGGTGACAAAGAAGAACATCTGGGCCCCGCAGCCGGCCACGGGGATGGGCTTCGGGGCACCCAGAGTGTTGGAAAGCATGAGAGGCACCACCGCGGAGGTGTAGCAGATCTCCAGCACAGACAGGATGCCCAGGAAGAAGTACATCGGGCTGTGCAGGGCGCTGTGCGCGCTCACCACCCACAGGATGGCCGCGTTGCCGCCCAGGGTCAGGAGGTAGAGCAGCAGGAACAGCAGGAACAGCGGGGCCTGCAGCGCGGGGGCAACCGAGAAGGCGCGGAACAGGAAGCCGGTGGGGCCGGTCTGGTTGAGCGCGGGGCTCCAGGCCTGCATCTCTGCAGCGAAACAGAGGGGAAGACACGCGGGGCTCATGGCCCAGCAGCAACCAGGGACTGGAAACCGGGTTTGGGTCTGGAATTACCTGCTTAGGGTCCAGTTTCAGAGGCAGAGCTCGGGAGCAAGTTCGGGGTGGAAGGTCTGGCGCGCTGAGGCCTGGACTCCTTCATGACCCAGCCGGAGACTCCTCTGCGATGACCCTGGGGAGGGGACCCGAGGACGCCCCGTGACATAGCCTGCTGTTCTAGTACTTTCCATCCAGCTGACAAGCACAATGCAGTGCTGGTGTTGGGAGGGTCCTACTGTTAGTTCTCTCCTTCTGTCTTGCTTTTTGCATAGTAAATACATCTGTCTAATCACTACTGAGGTGAAGGGAGCCATTCCAGGAACCTATAGGTGGCCTTCAGGTCCCTTTCAGACTTTGTCGCTGGGTGAGTAACAGCTCTGTGGCCTCATCCCTGCAGGTGGCTCCACCAGGAGAGTGCTGAGCCCAGACTGGGGCTAGAGGAGGCTCCTGGGCTCAGTTAGCAAAGCTCTGCCCCATTCTTTGCTGTACCAGAAGCCCTTGTACAGCACCTTCCTACCTTGTTCATGCTGCTTGCCACTGTTTTAACTCAATTTCCATGCTGTTGTTCTGACTACATATAAAATCAAGCTAACATACTTTTCTCTAGTCCTTTCTCATTTATAGTCTATTTATGGTTCCTCTTACTTGAAATTTCTATGCTGTAAGTAAAAGTTGAAACTTTTAGAATTTTCTTGACATACAAAAGTACAGTAAGAAATCTAAAAATGCCACAGCAGTCTGTAACTATGCGTTAGGACAATCAAGAGTTTTGTAAACATCTGAGGTGGAAAAATATCCATTATGTAAGCATATTCAAGCTATTCCCCATCCCCATCCCCATATTTAAGCTATTCCCCATCCCCAGCTATTCTGGTGGATGTAGGACTTGCTGTAAACTTTTGCAGAGTGCAGTTTGGTAATGTGCAATGAAACACTTGAAAAAAGCATACCATTTGATTCACCAAAATTGCTTTCAGGAATTTATTCTTATAAAGTGACTATATGCATAATATATGACTTCAATTCTATTTCCACCTGAGGAATCCAAAAAAAAAAAAAATAGAAAAATATCTGCAAAATTTTAAGAATAAATGTTTTTGAAACATTTCTATAGCCAGTAATCCCAGATTTCCAGAGGCTGAGGCACGAGACTCACATGAGTTCCAGACCAGCCTGGGCCACAGAGTGAGTTTAAGGCCAGCTTCAAACATAAATAATTAAGGGATGGGGATATGGCTCAGTGGCATAAGCGGCTGCCTTGCAAGCGTACAGTGGTGAGTTCAATCCCTGATACAAAAAATAAAACAAACAAATAAATAAATAAATAGTGAAAGCTTATGTCAAAAATAATTAATTAAACTTCCAAAAATTGAAAGGGCTATTGGAGAAAAAGATACTAAGCTCTGCATGTAAATGTACAAGCTCAGTTTTTAGGGTTAAATGAATCTTAAAGCATGCATGGATTGCATACAGTTTCTATCAAAAATCCCAGAACAAACAAGTGGAAAGGCAAAAGAATGTTAAGAATAAAGTGAACTAAACTGGAGCAAAACATGCATCATGTGAGACAAAATTATATCAGAGAATTACAGGAGATGAAACATATTGCACATTCATTAAATTGGGACTGAAAGAGCACCAGAGATCCAGCACAAGGGATCAGGAGTGGTCACTAGTAAATCTCCCTGAGGGAGGGGCATGGATTAGTGGCACAGTGCCTGCCTGGCAAGTATGAGGTCATGAATTCAATTCCTGGTAGCAAAAGATTAATCAATCAATCACCAATAAATGCTCACTGTTCTGCTGGGGATACTGTTCTATGTTTAACAACTCATATGGCCCTCTGTCAAAGGGCTTTTATGTCAGTTTTGTAGAGGACAAAATTAAGGCAAAGAGATTAAACCATGCTAGTGTGTACTGGAACGTGAATGTAAACATAGGTGATCTGATGCTAGAGTCTTTTTCTTAATGAATTATTATAGTATGCTATCTCTTATGTGTATCCGATTCATTATCTGTAAAACAGAACAGAAAACCCAAGTACCTCCCTTTGAAGGTGGTGGTGAGAATAACGTAAGTTATTCTGTGAAGTACTGAGAGAAATCTCAGCACAGAATACACATATGATGTATATTAACCGCACTTGTTATTTCAGATCAATTACTAGTGCTCCAGGACAATGCAATAATCATTTTTAAAGCCAATTCATCAATGTGTATTTATGAAAATTTATTTCTGATGCACTGACTCATATTTTAAACAGTGAAATAAAATTAAAAGTATAGAATACTTTTTCATATCTCATGTTCATACAGAAACATATGTAACCAAATGATAAAAGGTCAGATTCTAAAAATATTGATAATTTAACAGGCTAAAAACCACAATAAGCAAATCTAATAACAAGTGAATTTCTACAATTCAGCAAAAAGTAAGGGTAATCATAACCAAAGCATGTAAAATGAGCCAAATATATTAAACCCAATTTTGTTAGTATTCAGACAAGTATAAAATTAAATCAAAGCAAGATATTAGTTTTGGGTTACAAACTTCCAGTAGTGGAAAAAAGAAAATCTTAGTGCCGTTAAAGTTGCAAAGAAAGAAACATCCCCAGATATACTGGTGGATGTAGGACTTGCTGTAAACTTTTGCAGAGTGCAATTTGGTAATGCGCAATGAAACACTTGAAAAAAGCATACCATTTGGTTCACCAAAATTGCTTTCAGGAATTTATTCTTATAAAGTGAATATATGCATAAAATTGTTGACAGGAATTCTCAACATGCTTTTCAGTGTAAAGGCTAAAATTTTATCCACCTAAATACCAACAATAGGAGGATGCTCATTACTTGTGGTCTCCTGGGTAATGGAACTTTAAGAAATATTTTTTACATGACATTGTAAAATACTATTTAATAGGTTGGAAAGGCTCATGAAAAAGTAGATTGCAGAGCAGCATTGTATTGTGATTCCATTTCAAAAATAATTTTATCTATTCATAAAAAGTTAAAGAACATATCTCAAGGTATGAACAATGTCTTGGGAGTGTGGATCTTTCTGTTGATGATTTATGTTTTTTGTATGTCTAAATTTTACAATACCCATACACAAATTTGTGCTTCCCCAGTGATTTGGAAAAGTTTCTTACTGCTTTGGTAGTTCAACAGCATGTTAGGAAGGAAGGAAAGGAGGGAGCTGAAGATAGGATTCTTCGTAAGATCTGGGTTTGAAGCCCAGACCCTCTTCACTAATCTTCACCTTGACATTATTTGGTGCTACCCAATTCACTAACACAGCTAGGGACATGAATGTGGAATTTATAAGGAATGCATGAAGAGTGACTACTCTTCAGGATAACGTTCCTGAGATGAAACAGGGGTCCGGTGCATGTAGCCACCCCTCTGCCTCTTCTCCCTGTCCTGGGATGCTCCATTGGGAGCGACATACTCTCAGGCTTTGCAGTGGCTCTGCTGAAATCAGAATAATCAGGAAAGGATTGAAAGAGAAGGAAGGAGAATAAAACAAAATGGGAGAGAACTCCAGTACAAAAATTGTAACTGTATACCATCAGCAATAAATGAGGAAGATTTCTGCTCAGGAAAACATACAACACTGATTCTGTTCGTAGGGATGTGACATTTGCATGAGCAATGCTGCCTCTGCAGGGAGAAGGGTGGACACTGAGGTGTCATGAACCAGATCCTCGACCACAAGAGATGGGATCATGAGTCTCAGATTGGCCAGAACCCTCCATGCTGGGTGACAGCATGTATAAACTGACGTCTGTGTCAAGATGCGGTTGTATCTTCAATAAAAGAGCAGTGCAGATCAGAATGTGTGTGTATAACTTAGTGTCTCCCTTCAAGAAAAGGCTTATTAATATGATTCTGATAATGTACCCAGACCAAAGCCAGACTGCATATGACCCTAAGCCCACAGAGGAGGGGTGCAGCCTCTTTCTGAAGTAATTTATGAACATCTCAAATCTTATCCTGCAATAATTATCTTCATAGCAATGACCACTGTGTAACTTTATTACATTTTTAGGAGACATCTGATGTCTCAAGTAGACAGTCCTGGGCCTGCCATGTGCTGGTTTAGATTCTGGACAAAGTCAGGAATCTGCAGAATTCAGGTGACAACCTCCAAAGGGCAGACAAGGCTGCTCTGTGGACTTGCTGGGGGATGGCCACTGGGGTGGCTAAGGGCAGTGCATTGTTTTCATTTCCCTTCGCTGTCTCTGCCCCGGCTCTGTCAGGCACTTTAGCCCCTTGCTGTGGTCTCTTGCATCATTGCTCCTTGTACCTTGGACACTTCCGTCCGCTGAACACCCCAGCTCCAGCCTACTCCTCCTTCAGAGCGCTGGTCAGCTGTCACCCGCCCCTGATCCTCACCTTCCCCAGCTTCAGTGTTAGAAGCTCTGCTGACTATGGATTCATGAAAGAGAACAACATGTAAATAAAGAATTTAAATCTTCTGAGGAACTGATTCCTAAACTGTGTTCCCTAGAACAGGAAAACTTCATTGTGTTCTAGAAATGAAAGTTTTTGAGGTAGTTTGAAAGATTTTCGTATTTTTCCTCCAAGATTAATGACATCAATTAGCCAAATAATGGTTTCCATTCCTCCATGTTAAAAAATCAGCTTTATTTTGTATCAAAATTTTCACTGCATGTTACATTGTTTCCACATAAAATCATTAAAATGTTTCTGGATTAATGACAATACCTGAAATACGTTTCTTGCTACTTTCTTAGTGTAATACAGGGACACTGAAAGAAAATGAAAAGACCTGAACTTTATACTGGATTTATGCTTAGATAGGTGAAGCTGGGCAATTAAACAACTTATCAGGGCTCCCTTGCCTGTTAATTGGACAGATGTATCTACTTTCTTAATGAATTTGTTCCACAAACTCCAATATTGATCTATGTGACTATTTGTCTCCAATAGAAGGCAAACTAGAACTT